GATTTTGGAAAGTGAAAGGAAATCTCATGAGAGTGATTTCTGTAAAATATCATTCTTTTTCATGAACAACACTCCACAATGAATTGACAGTGGGTACCTACTCGGACATAGTATGCTTTCCCCTAACACTTTTTCTCTCTCACTTTCCTCCCCCATTTAAATAAGAGTAGCTACTGAATATCAATGGCAGTAGGTGTGGCATGATGACAAGGGGATTGTAATTTTTGCAATTTAGATTATTTGGGTGGAGACAGCTACTGTTTTTCTTGACAATGAAATTTAATACTTTTTCATTTCACCATTATTTTCATTTACCAGGTACTGGGTGTTAGCTGGACCAATTTATCTCTGTGTTGCATTTGTGTTTGCAGTTTTGTTCTATATAGCATATAATTTCACCATCACTCTCCCACCAGACTCTATCAACACAATTACAGGTGAGAATAAATATATTCTGTAATCTGGATTTGTAATGGATGCCTAGTAATAACAATATTCATCTTTGTAAGCTGCAGAAAGAAATGAATTGGTGGAATGAGTTGTGGTTCGGAAGTTTAGAGGTCTGTAAACAAACATACAGACCTTGAACATGATCAGCAGGAGGAATTTATTATTAAATATGACTCACACACTCAGTAACAACCTTCAATATTTAGAATTTGTTTCAATTTATCTCATATTATGAAGTAGGTTGTTGAGCAAATATTTTAGTAGCCTGCAAGGCAGGCATAATTTAAGGGTGAGCAGGTGCTCAGCACTTTCTTGATGAAAATTACAGGTGCCATCTTTGATTTTTACAGTAGTTGAAGTCTGGGGAGAGAAAGAAATTTTAACAAGGGGTGTGTGATAGTCAAAAAGGAAAGAAGAGGGAAGAGGGTGAAGTAACCATTCTCCCCCCCCCCCCCCACACTTTTTGACATAACACACATCAAAGTTCCTGTCATAGAGAAGAAATCAAATGGTTTACATAATATTTTGTTTTTGAACTTGCAGATATACATGCTCGATACATTGATGATAATACAATTTCAGTTCCTCTTGGATCAGTTCCACCTCTGCATGACATCCCACTAAGCCAAGTAAACAGGGTCCTCTACAAAGACTAAAATGTACTGCTCTTCAGTTCCTTGACTCTGGATGAGTTGGCTTGATTAAAGTTTTAAGGAAGTTATACATGTATGGTTCACTATTAATTGAAAAAAGCTTAAAATCAACTTTTTCTTTCAAGAAACAAGGAATGGTAAAATAAATTCTAACATCAGTGTGAGTTATATTATTTTGTAGCTATTCTCTCAGGCATCAAAATTAGTTTAAGAAGTAACAATTGGCATCAAAATTATATATCGCCATTCACTTGTTGCCACCTTTTGAGATTCCAAAGTGACCAAGCCCTGATAGAGTTGTCGCCAAATGAGTTTAAAATGCAGCTCTAGATACCACCAATTGTGAAACCACTATGTGCAACTGAACCATTCTCAAACTGTTGCTGCTAAAGGAAGTCATTACACGAGTAAAGAATGCTTTCTGTGTAGCTCCTGCTCATTCCAACAGATTGCAAACAAATGCAGAAAAGACATTTATATGTATGAAGCCATGTTGCTAAGCAAGATTGAATTAACATTTAAACCTATTTGAAAACAATTGTCTGAAGGTTAATTTAACTTCTGATTAAATCAAAATGTAGTTACCAGTAACACCAGTCCTTAATATCGCTCTGACGAAGGGCTAACGCTCAAAACGTCAGCTTTTTTACCCTCTACAGTGGCTAATTTACGTTTTCAACCCAGTTGTTAACACTAAATTACCTGCTATACTCTCCCACCGACACAGCATCACAGTTTCTTTAGAAACTTACCCCTTAATATGCACCAGTTTCATTTAGAATTTTTGATGGAAGAGATCAATTTATCTTTTCTAGGTTTATCTTCCTGTTTAAGGTAATTCCTGAGTATTGCATTGTGCATCCTATACTGCACATAAAAGTCATAGAATCAGGCTAATAACCCTGCATGCATTCCAAGAACATGGTATTGTTTGGACCAGAGAAAGAAGTTTGATGGTCTTTAGGTCTTGAATAATCATTGTGATATATATTCTTTTAATTGCAAAATTTTGGTGTACAAATCATCCCCTTCAAAAAACATTCATTGAAGGGGAAAAAAGCTATAACTGATTGTGAGCGTGAAGCCCTTTACTCAATGATACAAATTGTGACCTTTAAAGCGATGAGTGGGGAACATTTTGAGGTGATGTTTTTTTGAAACTGCACGATTTTTCCACAAATTATTTTAAGTGTTTCTTAGAAAACCCTTGCTTCCAGCTACCACAAAATGTACCATAAACCAATAAAAATAATGTGCATGATTTGTGCCAGTACAGGCATAAATGGGGTAAGATTAGCCCTTCATATCTCCCAGACAAGCATGGTGACATATTTTTTATGGTATTTTTCAAAACAGACATTGGTAAGGACCATTTAAGGAAAGTTTAAAAAGCATGGTTCCATAACTTTTTTTCTGAGGAATCACTTAAAGTATGATACCAAACTACAGTTGCATTTGTATGATCACATTACATTGAAATTAGGATTATGAAAAAGAAAGCCTTATTCACTATTAACAGAGCTTCTGATACACTGGAACACTGCTTTGTTTTGAACTCTTTAATAATTATTAACCTTGAGCTTAGGTAGAGAACCAACAACAACAAAAACAGGATCTGAAGAAGCAATGATATTCAACCACTAAAATAACCTTGCAAAGTAACTGTCTCTAACAAATGTTTTATTAAGAAGAGAGTTTTAAAGAGTCTCTCAGAATCTAAGGGAAAAAAAAGTTACTGAGCGTGTAACAAATTTCTCAGTAATAAGCCTTTTTATCATATGGAATCTATTTATAATTTTTAAGACTCATACAGATCACACATCATGTACAGTAACATTTCGACAAGTTGTTAGGCCATGAGAAGGGGTGGGGGAGGAGGTTCCTTATTCCAGGTTTTTGGATTGTTTATGTTCTTTATAATTTTGTTTTGCATTCCCTAAAACAGCCTTTGACATCAAAATGTATACATGTGTATAATTCCAGAGTTGACTTGAAGAATCGTACATATGACATATAGAGAAAAATATTTGTCTTAAAGTTGAGAAAAATTAACCATTGATCATCCAGGGGGGTATAAGTAACAACATTTATGATCAAAATACTTAAATGACAATTATGGAATTAACAAGTTGATAGGAAAAAGATAAGTTCCTTTACTTGGTCAACAGTCCAATGAGTTAATTTTAATTTCTATAAATCAAAAGGTGTGTTTATTTTAACAAGTAACTACCAATGGAGTGCTTTCAATTACATGCACTAAAATCATGACCAGAGTAATCACCAGAGCCAATCAGAACTATTGTGTAAGGCAAAAGCAGCTGAATCAGACACAAAACAACTTATGAAACCAGCCTTGAGTACGGAAGAGTACAAGTGACAAAATCATGATTGGTTTCTGCACACATGTGAAGGTGGCTTTTCATAGCAATCACTCAGCACTGGGAAGAGAGATTACTCCAATATCAGATTACATTTCATGCTCAATTGAAAATTGCACTTCACCCAGGTTTCTAAGCAACACAACATCACAGTTCACCCTAAGCTCACTCGGGTAATCAAAAAGAGCTCATTTTACACAGAAGCCATGACCTTGCATTTATGCAAAAGCCAATGACATACAAGATAACAGCTTCCTTAAAAATACGTATAATTAAAGCAGAAAGTTACCCCCTCAAGTTCATGAAATGATTTCTGGAGGGTAATTTTCACCAAGTCCCTTCTCAATCTCTGAAAAATATTTGGTTGCAGCAAAATTATACAAAAGCTTTGGTGACTTTTTTTTTCAGTTTTTAAAAAATCCCCAGCAACTAATTTCACATTCCAAATTGAAGGGTTTTTCAACAAGTTTCTAGAGTGAAGTCACTAAGATTAAAAAACTACTTTTGGCGGTTTTTGAGAACACTAAACAGCTCCTGCTGTACTTGTTTCTGTTTCCCTCGATCAGCTAGACTATTGATACTCCTGAAAATTAAGCATAGGTAAAATTTTCAGTTTCTCAATGTTTCCTCTTTTGCAAGAATAACAAAACAGATTTAAATAATATCTGCCCTGAGATCTTTAACTAGTCCTTGGGCTTATTTCTGCATAATAATAACCTAATTTCTAGGAACACCATTATAATAGTTTTCGTAAGTCCTGCTAAATTCATGCATCCAATGATCACTGTTTCTTAGTCTGTAATGGGAGTCAACCAGAAAAAGAAAGAAAATAAACAAGAAGAGGAAATAAAATGACATGTCAAAACATTAACTTAGCGAAAGCGATGATTTCTCT